ATAGGGTGGGTCGTTAATACGTGTCTTGCGGCACGCCGGAGCGCGAGCGAAAGTTCAAGAGCGCCTCGATCGACGGAATCTCGCAGGAGATCAGAGAATGAGAAAATTGGCTTTCTTACGGTTCTCCACGGCGCTCACGATTTGTGTGTGCGCGCGCGCGCGCCGTCTCAGAGTGGTGGTAGTCTACTCGGCCGTGGTCTCGCCGGTTGTTTCATTCTCGGCAACTCGGCTTGCGCGCGCGCGCGCGCGCGCGCGAATGCGAACGCGGACGCGGACGCGAGTGCGAGCGGTGCAACCATGCGATTTTCTATGTATCGCTCGGCCAGAGCCGAGTAGCCTGCAATTATCGTGTGAACGAGGCCGAGCCTCGCCGATGGCTTTGTTTCGTACTTAAATGGCCGCTCTTTCGAGATTCCGCGAATGCGCGCGAGAGCCATCGGATTCGCTTCGTTAAAGAGTCCGTCGCGGCGGCGAAGCCGATCTCCGCTCGAAAGGTGTCGCGTGACGGAACGGGGACTCGGCGCCAAACAAAGGGAAGCGAGAGAGCGAGAGAGGGAGAGGGAGAGAGAGAGAGAGAGAGAGAGAAAAAGGAAGGCGAAGATTCGCCCCCGGAAGAAATTGCTCTCTCGAGGAGAGCCGCGTCTCCCGCGCGAGCAACCGTGTCACAGTTCGCAGCGTGAAGAACTTCCGGCGATACGGGAACGTAGGAACAATCGCCTCCGGCGAGAAAGTGGAACAACATTAATATATATTTCGTTTCCTCGAAGGCGCTATACGCGCGCTTTGCTCTCCATTCTACGGAGAGGAGACAGCGGCGTTTATCCAGCCTCGACCCGAATGCCTCCTCGTGAAATGCCCCGGCGAGCGCCGATGCTCCTTTAGATATCGGCGATACGTCCTGCCAAACAGATAAGACTAATGCTGCAGAGATAATCTGTGATACGCCGGAATACGGTAACGACACAAGCGCCGCTTTCACTCGGTGGTTCGCGTCGCGATGCGCCGAGAAAAGGGTGAAAAGAAGGGAACATCAACGAAATACGAGGGCGCGCATCGTAGGGCATCGCGCAGGGTTTTGACGTGTCCGAGGACGCCGTCGAAATCGGACCTCGCTGGCGACGCTGACGGCAACGACCGGTTTATCTAATCCGCCGTTTCTTCGATCCGCGATTTCTCCGCTTCATTTCCACCGCCGTTTACCGCCTCTCGTTACGAGCCATCGCGCTTGATTTTTCTCTTTTCGGTCTATCCGCGCTCCGGTCGCGCGTGCAATTACCGTGCGAATGAGGTCGCAGCTTAGCTTTAGCAGCCTTCGACGGTTGCGCCCAAGCGGTGCTTGCATCGACTCTTCGTCACCGGCTTTACCTGTGCCGTTTCTCGACAGACTCCGAATTTCCGCCGTCTCCTTGTCGTCGATTCTCCGAGGATCGATCGGTCGCCATCGAATCGCACGAGGTCGAGACTCGGCCTCCGCGTCGAGAGACTTTTCGGCGTGACGAATGTAGATGAAGTAGGGATGCCGATTTTTTTTTTCAAACAGATCGATTTAAACATCGATTCGAATCACGGATGAGAAATCGATCTTTAAAAAGTCGGTTCATAAAGAATCGATTTCAGAAAATCGATTTGAGTCGGTATGCATGTAGAGTGAACCACTCATTAAAGTATATTATCTGTCAAACTTCTACATTCTAAAGTAGACCTCGTGTAATTTATATAGTTTAATATGAATTAAAGAAATTAAACATATGGTATTCTTTTGGTTGTGTTGTGTGTGTGCGTGTGCGTGTGCGTGTGTGCGTGCGTGCGCGCGTGCGTGTGTGTGTGTGTGTGTGTGTTTTGCCAAAACCAAATAGAAAAAAATCTGTGCTAAGGATTTAATTAGTTTGATTAAACGTCAATCAAGGGTTTTTAAATGTTATTAAATAAGAAATCACGTTTACTATTATATGCATATACATATGTATACAACATACATATGTATACTATACTTATATGGAATGACTGTGATTGGTTCGCGCGTGTTTCGTTCCGCTGAAAATTCTCGCTCATGGAATATCGGTCTAAAGGCAACATAATGAATGTTGTGCATTGTGCAACTATTGAGTGAGCTCAAATGTTACAACTAAAAGAAGTAAGAAAAAACTATATTACTATTAGAAACTAAAAAAAAAATCGTGTTGGCGATTTTCAAAATTTACAGATCGATCCTTGAATCGATTCAGTTCCAGAAAATCAATTTGAAATCGATTCGACTTGAAAATCAATTTGAAATTCGATCTTTTAGGCTCCGATTAATCGATCTTCGATTAAGTTGATTTAAAATCAGCATCCCCACCGTCGTGCGAATTCCCGTGACCGTTGGCGGGTTATCTGATCTCCCCGTTTCGTACGCGAATTTCGCGCTCCACAAAGGAGACGAGGAGGTGAAACAGGTCGCGTGCGATTCGTAAATCGCTCGTCTCTTACTCGTCCATTGGATTTCCTCCGCGCGTCTCGGATCGGTTAGATTCTTATTTTCCGTTGAGGCGATTTGATAAATGACGAGGAGAGGCCGCGCGCGCCAAATGGAGCAAAATCTTGCCGCGCACAAAGCGATCAAGGTTCGATGACCGACGCTGCTTTACGCCGCGCTTTATATTCCGAGCTCTCGATACCGTTTCTCCGCGCCTTTTTCACAATGATGCTTATTGTCGCGAGTGATCTCCCGCGGGTTGATTATCCGCCGCGTGAAAGTCGAAGGAACGCCTCGGCGAGGAGCCACGTACAGTGGCTCGGTAGATTGCGGTGAGGAAAAATATGTTTTCATGTGTGCGCGTGCGCGCGAGAGAGCTCGCGTCGGTCCCGAGCAATTCGTATCGAGTTTTTACTTCGTTTATCGATTTAAGATGCATCGATTTAAGATAGAACGCGCGACGAATGAATGAATGATAATGAAGTATAAAAAGCCGCGCTCACTGGCTAGCGAAAGCCAGCGGCGATTTTTGCACGCGTTCGTCGAAGGAACGAGATCGAAAACGTAACTACGCATGCGGTGCGTTACGGCCGAACGAAATATGCTTCGAGATTTGCGCCGAAGATGATGCAAATCGACAGAGCTAGGACATAAGGGGAACCTTCGACCGAGATCGAAAGATTCTTTCGACCACGAGGTCGAAGAGCGCGCTTAACGTCTTCCTCCTTTTTTCTACTACTTCCGACGAGCCGTCGGATTTCGCGGAAGAAAAGAAAGAAAGACGGTGTCATGGATAACTGTCGGCGCACCAGAGGGTTATCTCAGAGATCGTGACTTCCAGATTCGACTGAGAATTTCCGTCTATTGACCCGTGTTTATTGCGCGCGTATACGTCGGTTTACAAAATAAACGCGTTGCAGAAGGCGAGAAGTCGCGACGTAAACGCCGATCGCAATCTGCCTCCTTCCTTCCCCTTGCGACTTTCCCGTCCGCTCGACGGCTCGGCGTTGCGTCGCCGTCGATTGCTCAATTGTGCATTATAACGATATTTTCGTGGACTTGCAAATCAGCAGGGTCACTCGGACGGCGGCCATCCAGAGATCGAGACCGGTCACGCATGCATTTTATGCGTGACATTTTATGCAATAGACTACCGCCGTCTAGACGCTGATTCTTCCTCACACGACTTCCTGCACGCGTGCGCGTGCATGATGCACGCACAAATTAATTATCTCGTCCGGACGAGGCCGACGCGCAATTCGCTTGTCGGGTGTCGAGTGTGACGTAAGGTCGTCGCCGATGCGCGATGTATGTCGCGTCGTCCTTGAATTTTCATCGCGTGCCAAGATTACTCTCTCCGCGATTAGCTTCGCCGATCAATTATACACTTATTTATTACTCGCTGCTCGATTCCACTCGTTTATGCCCGCCGCGATCCGACTCGTTATTTCTCGCTGCGTTCCCCAACGTCACCGCGACGAGAGTCACCGAAGGAAGCATTTTTTGCCGATGGACGGGACGCAACGCGGCGAAAGCGCAAGTCGCGCAAACCTCGCGCGGCCTCTCCTCACGGTCAACAACGGGGTTGCTGTTCGTTTTACGAACAAATTCGCGCTAGAGCATCTCGTCGTCTCGCGGCTGCGGCGATTTGCGGTACCGGGCGTTGCGAAGTTGCACGGGCCCGGCTGACAGCCGTAAAACGCTCGCGCGTCGATTCCCGTCCGTGCGTGGCCGCGCTACGCGCGCCTCCGAAGGAAATAAAAAAGCGGAAAACTCGTTACTAAAGTTAAAATCGAGGTTACACGCGGGATAAGCGTGTAACTTTCTCCGCTCCGCATTCCGCATAGAGGGAAACATACATTGTTCCTCTCTCGCGATGGAGAAGGGCCGCGGTCTCCGCGCTATATATAATTTACGTGACACACAATCTGAGGCAAAAAATAGCGGATTTTCTACGTAATGCGCGCTCTCCTTATTATTTCTGTCAAGAGTGTATTGTTTTTCTGCTCCTTCATCTCTCTCGAGCGAGGAGAAGGAGCGCGCAGGTAGAAAACGTGAAACGCTTGAAAGCGGGCGACATTTATTGCGCGACTCGCAATAACGAATTATCTGTCGAATTAATTACGCGATAGCCGCGAATTAATGTAGCTTTCGCTCGCAGCGAAAACTAGCGAAACGAAGCGCACACTAATGAACGTGTCCAATCTTTGCGGAGAACCTTCCCTTACTTTTCCCGTACGGAGAATTGTACAGAACCAAAGTTCTATTATATGTGCGTAATAGAATGAGAAACGAAAATTCAATAACCAGAGATCGTTATCTTAGAAAACACAAAAGGAAAGAGAAAAACAAAAATAACAAAAAAATGTAATTCTCGAAAATTCTCCTAGAAAATGACACGGCATACATGATCGGCTGGCTGTCATCAGGAAGTCGGCCGCACAAACTGAATTTTTTCTCCGTGTGTGCGACTCGAAAACATCATGTAGCCGTCGCTGAGAAACAGGGAACTAATTAGTCGTCCTGATTGTTTTTCGCCCATCAGATGCCGACCTTCAGGGTCAAATCGAGGGCTCGGTGTCAATGCCGGCTACTTATCAGACTCTTGTCTCTCGCGCCTGCCTGGCTCAGCAGTGCTGCGGCTTGGCGCGGGATCAGACGAGAGCCTGCGAAAGGCTGGTCCACGATCAACACCTCCAGCAGCAAGGATGGGCCGCGGTGGTCGCGAACCTCGAAGACATCACGCAAATGTTCCAGTCACGGGCCGATCAATTCCAGCATAGCTTCGCTCTCTACCTCGCCGAGAGGCAGCAGCACATGGAACTGCTCGACAAGTAACGATCTCTTTTTATCTTGGATATGAATGCGCGTAAACATTGGGAAGGAAGAGATTGTATCTCCCGACGTATGTACGTCTCCGTGTTTCGCATTGTGTTGTCTACGAGAGAGAGAGAGAGAGAGAGAGAGAGAGAGAGAGAGAGAGAGAGAGAGAGAGACGGCCGTCATGCTACGTTAGTAAGAGGAATAATTCTTTGTGTGAAAACAAGTCGAAAACGTGGGATGAAATTTTTTTCCTACCCAAGGCTTCGCCTTGGGAGATGTTAATCTGAAGTATTTCTTGAATGTGCACGCGTACGGGGGCGAAATTATCGAGAGATCAACAAGCTCTCTCTCTCTCTCTCTCCCCTCTCTCTCTCTGCGAATCTCCTAGTCTGAACCACGGGAGTTCGGAGTTTGCGAAAACGACGCGAGCGATCTGTCGCGAGTTATCGAAGAATTTATGAGGTCCCCGATTAAGTTAATCAATCGGTAGCGTTGTCTTGTACGACACGACGTCGTTTTCGTTAACGTAACAAAGACCGGTTTTCGCTCGTTTCTGTTGCTCCTTCGACGGATTTAGATAGAGGCCGGAAGGCGCGGATAGGGTGCGCGGGGACCGCGTGTTGCCGAGTTGTCGCGAGAATTTTTCTCAATGAATTACACACAGGGCGACCCAGTTATCGTAAGAACAACGTAGAATGTGACGGTTTCCCCCAATAATTATTATTTCCATTACAATGCTATATAATTACCATTGAATGCCACGCTTTAATTATCACGGCATGGATTAGCATGTTTAATCGTCGCTGTTTCAATTACCATTGGTTATACTACTAATGAGCAACTAAATAATCGGGCCGCTGTAATCTCATCCGAAGATATGCGCATCCAAGTTTATCGCAATATTTGCGAAAAGCGTAAATACACGCGCAAACCTATCGATTAATGTTGGATGTTGACTCGCGGCGGCAAACACGGAGTCGGAAACTGAAAGCGGCTATTCGTATTCTCTATTTCTTCCTCCCTCTTGTTTCTCTCGTATATTATGAAGCGAGATAAGAATTCTCGCGTTAGCAAAGAAAACGAGCGTCAACGTCATGTTTTTTGCAGCTTCAATGCCGATCTCGGCATGCTGGCGAAAATCCCTATTTTGCCGGCCTTGAGAGCTCACGCCGAGGGCTTCATGAACCCGGACGATCAACCCAGCGAGTCCTCCGAGCCCGCGTTATCCGACGGCACGGAAGAAGTACTGAGCCTGCTGCGATGGATCTCGGCGAAGGACAATCAGAGCAGCCTGGAGCAAGTGGCGGATCAATGTTCGCGCGGGTTGGAGCAGTTTGACGAGCGGGTGATGCAGAGCCTCAAGGCTGAAGTGAACGCGGCGATTGATAATGCCAATAAGCAGGACATGAAGGAGATCAAGGGTCTGGGTGAGAGGCTGTTTGCGCTGGAACAGCTTATGGTGCAGGCCAAGAAGCTCGTCTTCGAGCAGGGCGAACTGGCGCAGGGTTTCGTGCAGAATCAGAATCGCGCGAGCAACCTTGGCGACGCCAGCGTCTTGCCTGATCTCTGCCATTCCCACAGGCGGCAGCTGCTCGTCATGCTGCAGAATCACAACCAGGTACGCGACATCCGTCGCAGGTGCACAAAGGCGAAGGAGGAACTTTCGGTGAATATCTATCGGCGCCTCAAATGGATCATGTACGTTGAGAACAAAATGATGGAAGTGGACAGCAAGCTGGTCATGTACAACGAGAGCCTGAAGCGTCTCAGGAGGCACCTGGAAGTGCTCCAACAGATTCACTTGGCCCCGCAGATGTACATGAGCGCGGTGGCCGAGGTAGTCCGACGACGCACTTTCTCGCAGGCTTTCCTCGTTTGGGCCAGCAATCTGGCGTGTCAACTGCTGACGGTTCACAGCGAGGAACTGTCACGTAGACGCGAGTTCCAGAGTAAATTCGACGGCCACTTCCTCAACACGTTGTTCCCGGGGCTTGAGGACACGCCACCGCCCTTCGCGACGCAAGCGCCTTCTGTTTTCGACAATGGGTTACCGAAGGTATAGTGTATATATATCATTGTTCTACACAAGATATACGTTTCTGTTCAATAACAACATACTTTCGAGATGCGGCGGAGGTTGCCAAGTGATTCTCCGTATGTTTGAACAGCTAACTGCGGACGACATGGAGTCGTTGAGGTCACAGCTCCCGGACTTGGCGCGCTCGATCTCTACGCCGGACCTGAATAGCATCACGCAGTTTTTCTTGTCCAAGAGTCTCATTGAAGCCAGCACCGACGGTAACAAGGACAAAGATGCCACGTCGGTCAGCACCGATATCCTCGCGAAGGAACAGGAGCGAACTAGAGCACCATTATTGTCGGACAGGTGAGAGTTGGTTGTATTTTTACCCAGTCGTTCTCTCGTATTCGTAATACGATGTGTTCTCAACGAGTTGCTAGAAAGAAATACCGTTAACGGTGGTGTCGCTATTTTTCAGAGGGGGCTTCGAATCCGAAACGGACACGGAGGAGTTCGAGAAGATCGGCCAGGCTGGCGTGGCCGACACGACGAAAGCCGGCGTGTTCGACGGGGCGAAGCAGAAGCGGCAGAAGCAATTGGAGGTTGGTGCCTCTCGAAGCGTGTCCCCCGCTTCCTCGACCTCGACTAACGTCTCCCCGCTAAACTCGAAAGTCGCGGATCTAACGACGCGTTCGTCCACGTCGAGCGAACCCGGCTCCTTCCAATTCCCCAGCCTGTCCGTCGCGAGCGAGCGTCCGGCGCAGCTGAGCCCGCTGACCGAGTGCGTGGAGAACGGCGCCGTCGACTCCGCCGCCGGCTGCTTGCTTCACCATGACGCGAGCGGTGGCCTCTCGAAATATCGCGATGGCCTGTCGCTCGAGGAGACGAATTCCCTGAGCCCGAATCCCTCCTCCCTGCCACGGTCCTCCGTGATGTGCGACGGCCAGCAGCTGCAGCATCAGCATCCGCTGTCCGGCAGCGGCGGTAGCAGTCCCTCGGTCGGCGTGGGCGCTACCGACTTCATGGGTACCGAGTTTTACATGGACGAATCCCTGCCGAGCAGCCTCAGCGAGCCTCCCGCCGACGGCCAGCATCAGGCCATCGTGTCCCTCCTTCAGGTACTTGGACGATTTACAGCTCGCTAACAAGAACTCTCGTAATCGTAGCCGTAAACGTGTCCACTACCTCATATCCTCGTCATTATCTGTTCTCGAATCATTGTGTCTTAAACCGTACGATGTGATATAACTATTTTCTTCTCTTTTTCTCTCTCTCTCTCTCTTTCTCTCTCTCTCTCTCTTCTCTCTCTCTCTCTCTCTCTCTCTCTCTCTCTCTCTCTCTCCTCCGTCTCTACACCTCGCCATCCTTTCTGCTGCAGCGCATCGAGGTAGATGTCGAAAGTACTCCGCTCCGGTACTCCGTGAGACTCGTAGTTGAGATTCTATTAGGTTAGTTCATTCGCTTTCTTTTTTTATTTATGGTTTCTAGGTACTTTCGTTGTATCATTATTATTGCATTTGTAACCGAAGTATTTAGCGCGCTGACTGTATGCAACTAGTCCCCGTGAGACATGGGTATGTATGTATCGTCGCTTGTATTGCGTTTCCAACTAATCGAGTGGAATCTACCGTGTTGCCCTGACTCTTTTGTATACCGCTTGCATAAATACATTAGCATAGCAGCGATAAAAGAAACACGTGAGCGCCTTGAACAGGAGCTCACGTGCGTGTGCGTGTGCGTGCGTATGTGCGTGCGTATATGCATCTTAATTTTTACAGGGTAGCTGCCGTCGCACTCGTTTCCCAATCCTCCCACCCACACTTCCTTCAGAACCCATTGAACTCAACCACCACGATTGCTTTCATAATAACATCCGTGCTAAATTAAAAGAAAAAAAGAATAAGGAAAAACAAACAAAGGAAATGGTCGCCGAGATTTTGCGCGAAATTCGATCGTTCGCGGGTCTCTCTGACAAAATTCTGAAAACAACCGGGGATTCTCTCAAACACTCCCGCACGAATTCTCCTCGAAGAAACGTCTGCGAACAGATCGAGGACAATTCGTACCACAACAAAGTATGATTTCGGGGTCGCTCATAGAAGCGTCTTTGGCGCTTGGGCGTTTCAGGAAAACCTTGGCAACACGCGCGAGGAAGTGGAGAGATTGCGATCCATTCTGAAGACCATGAAGGCGGTCATGTCCGAGGCGTTGAGCTCCGTCCGGCATGAATTGACGATCCTGCGCGAGCAGTCCGACGAGGACAAGAGCAACCTCGCCGAGATGACGGAGCGAGTCCGAATGGCGCTTTCCTTGTACTCGCGGGAGTGTGACCGGCGTCTGCAGGAACGCGAGCAGGAACTGATGGTCGATCACGAACTCGAGCTGGCGGAGATCAAGAAAGTGATGCAGAGTCGTGAAGAGGAGATTGGCACGTTCAAACGTAATCTCATGGAGAAGGAGACGGAATTGGCGGAGCACGAGCGACTGGCGGCCACGATGCGCCAGAAGCTGGAGGATGAGCAGATCGAACTGGGGAATCTGCAGACTCGTTTGCACCAGCAGCTCGAGAACGAGTTGGAGCAAGCGCGCTTAGACAAGGAGGAGACTGTGAAAAAGGCGAACGATGAAAGGTGTCTCGAGATCGCCTCGTTGACAAATTCCTTGACGCAGTGTCACAAACGAATCGAGAAGTTGGAAGGAGATCTAGCCACCGCTCGCAGCGATCAGGAGAGAATGGTGAAAGAGGCGACCGACAAGTTCCAGTTGGAGTATAAGACGGAGCTGGAAACGCTCCGGAGTCGCTTCAAACTCATGGCCGCCTCCACCATGGAAAGGAGTCCTAGCGATTGTAGCCTAGAGAAGATCGAGGTAAGCAGCGTTGTTCTTCTCGTTTGTTGACCTCGTTGGTGGAGAAATGGTGAGCGAAGTGACGTGAGATATATAACTGTCGAATTTCTGCTTTTCCAGCGGACTGATGTCATCGAGCTCGCGAATCATGAGATGATCTTGGCGCAAACAAAGGAAGACATGAAACTGGAGAACGCCGCAGTGCTTCGTACCGCCATCGAGAAAGAGAGAGCCGACTGCATGACAAAGTTGGATAACGAGTTGAAAGTCGCCACTCAAATGGTCGAGGAGAAGGATAGAGAGCTGAAGATATACAGAATGAGAGAGGCCGCACTGATTGAGGAATGCCAACGTTATAAGAATACGATACGACTATTGACCAAGTCGGAGAGCGTGCAGCGGCAAATGTTACATGAGATGGTAATGTATCGCATATATTGGAAATATATATCTACCGCAATATATTTTCGTGTCTCTCAAGTCGGTTATCTCGGTTATATGCGTATATTCTAAAGTTCTCTTGCACGCAGGTGGGGAGTCTCGAGGCAGACAAAATGTGGAAGGAGAGCAGTCTGGAGAAGAAACTGCGAGCGATCAACGAGTGCGACGCCGTTGCCTATCCAGAGTCTACGGTACACAAGGAGTTCACTCACTATGAACGATTGGACAGCAGTCAAGGTGATCTGGAGGAAGTCCTGAAGGGCGCGAAGAGCGACAAATACGAAGTCGAGGTCTCGGAGTCGAAGAAGGTGCGACTGGAGGCGGGCGACGACGAAGTCGCTCGGCTTTCCAGACGACTCGAACTTCTCGAGAACGATAACAAGAGGCTGTCCGCGGAACTGGTGACGATACATCAGAGCAAAATGGCGGCCGAGGCGAAAATGGAGTCGCTGATGTCGGACAAAGTACGTCTGGAGATCGAGTTGGCGAAAGAACGAACCAAGAGGATCTTCGGCATGGAAACGTTGCTGTCGGAGAGCCGCGATAAGGAGATGAACGCGTCGGTCGCGGTGGTCCCGGAATTAAGTTCGGGCTCGAGCCGAGACGCGGCTACCAGTCCGGAACCGAGCGGACGGTCAGCTTCCAAATCGTGCTTAGCCTTGTCGCGAATGCGTAAGAAGATCGAAGAGGGTATTATGGCGAAGATTGCGAAGTTGGGCGTCGTTACCGTTACCAGTTGCAATCCGGGCGACGTGGTGCTCGTGTTCTGGGATCCCGTTCACGGCAATTACGCGGTGTATCAGGAATCCTCGACTCTTTATTTCCTCCATTCGGACTATGTAGACACGTTGGACGTGCGGATGAATGCGAACGGCTCTCGCAAGTGTATTCTCGCCGAGGTGATCGATAAGGAATATTGTCACGCGAGAAAGGTAAGGCTGCTTCGTCAACCGTGCGAATCACGACACGGGGTCGCGTGCGCGTTATACAGCGCGATGATAAAGGTCAAGTATTTGCCGGATAAATCAACTGATTCGCTTCTGTTGATCGTCTGTTTCAGAGGGAGAATCGGTATCATGTTCCACTCGGCACCAAGTTCTATCGAGTGCGCGTAAAACCAGTGGCCGACGACTCGGGCTCGTTGATGAAGAGTCAACTACCGTAATTTTACGTTCCGACTAAGCGTCGAGAATCCCTTGATTCTTGCCTAGTACAAGCGCTGTGATCGAGGGTTTGCGTCGGAAGGCCGCGCTCGCTAGGGGACCAGCAGCGACCTGGAATGCAAATCCCGAACTTACGTCTCCGCGACCATCCGGAAACCTCGGATCTAGGCCAAAACCTGCCAGAGCCTCTAGACGCATCCTTGATGTCGATGAATTTTAGGATGATGGTCCGCGAAAAGAGGTATGCGCAAGTTGGGTAATATGGAAATGAGACGGAAGGATGCGCCGGCGTTTTATTGTGATATATATAAGTAATTTTTAAACGAGTGTTAAACATATATGCCGAATGCTGTGGTTAGCTGTGAAGCGTAACGACATTTGTATTCTTCGACTTTGCTTTTTTTTTCCACACAAACGAGAAAAACAAAAAAGGATCATTGACGATTCTCTACTTCGGTGATTCGATAAGTTTGACCATTGTGTGTATGTGTGCTGCATATAAAAGAAAGAAAGAAAGAGAAAGAAAGAATGCGTGCATTTGATGAACGTATGAATTTGATTTCAACATTATATAGACACGCGATGCGGAGGGACGAAAACGCGTCCGTTTGGAGATAACGCGCAATTTTCTTCTCTCCGCATTCCGATGATTACCTTTGCACTGTATGAGATAAAAGAACGTAGCTGTAAGTTTTACAAAACCGACATGTTGCGTAGTGCACCGGGTGATGATTTCGATGAAGCCTTAACATTCATGGGCAATTTTCGATCCGGTTAACGCTTCATTGAAGCCTGGTGTGTGTATGTGCGCGCGCGCGCGATTCATATGTGATATACATATATATATATATATATATATAATCGTATTAAACAATATATATGTGTACACATACATACACACACACACACACACACGTGCATCTCTCTATGCGTGTATATACATACTGTTGCACGAGACGTGCAATATATCTGCGTACGAAAATCTCATAGGTCCTAAGACGGGGCTAAGATTTTGTAAAGCGAAGAGGAAAAGAAGAAAAAGAAATCGTCACGTAATCGTGTCATTGCAATTTTGCAGCAAGGGATACCTAGTATGTTTAGATTCTCTATTTATACGAAGGAAACATGCTACGCGATTATTTATCGACGATTGCTCGTGTATTAATAATCTTCGTCGCGCTAATCGCCCTCTCGCTCCGTTCATTCTATTTCTTTCTCACAGCGGACGAACGCTTTCGTTTCTCTCTTCTCCTTTCGTATCTTGGCTGCTGTCTCTTCGTAGTAGTAACCGGTTACAGAGATGGGTGTGTAAAAACGGGCGAGCCGGTGTGTTTTGTTCCTAAAAGGAAAGGAACGTAGGCTGCGAAGTGTGCGTGTACCTCTTCTTCAATCTCTCTTCGCACGCAATTTCCGCGGCGTTAGTTTAAGCAATGCCCAGTCGGAGAATCGACCTGAAGCGTAGAACCTCCGCGTAGAACGAATTTTATAAATATACGTGTATACTTACACATACACACACACATATATATATATATTCTCTACATACACATATACATATTATATCCTTTTCTATCGTTTGACCGGTACGTCCATGCCGTCGATATGCGCGATGGCGTACACGATGAAGTGGCTCGCGGAGCGTCGCTCTGTCGTGAGCTCCTTCAGTTGCAGCATTAACTTGTACACCACCTGAAGCGCATTCTCGCTACTACCTATCGTTCCTCGCGACACACACGTTAGACACACTCATAGTGCAGTACAATAGCTGTGATCGTTAGCTTGACGTTTTCACTTCTCTACTTAGCCGTTAATTAAACTTAATTCCCCGCGGCGACTCGTTCGCTCTTCTCCGTTCTACCGAGGACGTACGCGCGCGCGCGCGCGCGCGATATCTCTCTTCCTATTCCCCGAGGAAGAACGGAAAAGAAAAGAATAGTAAAAAGCGCGAGTAAAGAAACCGATCCTCCCGAAGCACGACGGGCGACGAGCGTCGCGTTCACTCTCTCGCTTGCTCGCGACGATTTCGAATTGGTGCGAAAACCTGAGACGTCGTTGACACAGACGGCTCCGCAACAAAATATGCCGATACATAAGGTGAATCGTTCGATAGGCTGACATCATAAGCTGCCTCGAGCTTCTCTCGAGGACGACGACGCGTCCGCTTTCGGCGTATCGCGGCGTATAATATAGTATAGGTAGTCCGTGTAGGAATTGTCTCTCTCGTCCTTGACTGGAACACATACACGCACGCACGCACGCACGACGATGAATTTTCGACACATACCCTGAGGACCGATAGACGGACAGAAACCCAGACAGACAGACGAATCGAAAATTTGCCTTCTCCCGTGGAAGTACCGTTTTTCTGCTCCTCCCCCTCACCGTCGCCGGTGAATCCGTCGCTCGGCCGCGCGAAATCGCGCAGGGAGGCACGAACGATAGCTCCCCTCTGCGTCGCGAGGTGGTGACGCGCGATCCGCCGCGTCACGGAAGAAACGATGACAATACGAGCAACGCGTTTTTTACTGCCACCGCAACGACGAGAGAGATCGCAGCTCGATCTCAGTTCAATTCTCCGTCGTAGAATCGATCTCCGTATGCGACCCCCGTGCTTGCTTCTCACCGCGCTCTCCCGCGGTTTTCCTACTGCAGACCAAACGTTCGCGCTTCGTGTAGCTCTTCGATAGTCGATCGTCCGGAGGAAGATAGCTCGATGGTAGCCCGGATCCCCGCGTTCGCTTCGAGAAGCGAGCATCTCCTTTTTTTACTTTCCCGACAAACCCCGCCAACGCGAGGTCGCTCTCTTCTTCTCTCCAGACACGTTCGCGTACGTTTACGAGCCGAGGATTCTCTTCGCCGCGTGCGTGCGTGCGTGCGTGCGTGCGTCCGGATGCGAATAGCAAGTCTCTCGTGAATCCTTACGCGAAACGACGACGAGAGCGGGACGCGCTCGTACCAGGTACGAGCCGCGTCTCCGTACTCGCGGAAGCTGAGTCGGCTGAGCCGTCGAATAAGCTTCAGACTACGTTCGAATTTGTAACTAATACTCACATCGCAGTACGATTCGGAGAGAGAGAGAGAGAGAGAGAGAGAGAGAGAGAGAGAGAGAGAGAGAGAGAGAGAGATATGTTATATAGATATGTATAGTCGAAGGTTCTGTTATTACCGACACATGTGTACATAGGTGTGTCCGCATGCAATGACGTGATATTAATTAATTTGCAGCCAACTCACGAGAGGGTCCAGGTGGAGCAGAAAATCACGACAATGCGAAAATTGGCGGGCGAGAACACGATCGAATTATGATCGAGAGGAACTTCTTTCTTACACGGTCACTCTCTCGTCAGCGTGATCGCGTTGTCGTGACTCTCCGCTCTCTTCTGGGGCTCGGCGAAGAGGCTGTCACTGCGACGCCGACGGGCGGTCGCTCGACGTCGCAGCCCCCCGGCGTCTTCGCCGAAGAACCTCACGACAGTTGGAGCTACCTAACGTGCAAGTACGACGTAGAATCCGTTGGCGCCAACTTGGGGCAGCGGGAATGAAGAAATGTTGCGGTGCTTCGGAGCAAGCGGAGCCAGCAAGCGAGTCAAGCGAAGTAAACTCGTGTGATCGACTAACTCGAATTTTTCGTCCTTAGAAGGTACTTCGAACGAAGCTCTGTCTTGTCGCTCACGATGCGTTTTTATCGGTGGCCAGAGAGATTTGCGAGGGCGGGTGACCGCGCGTAAAATCGCGCGACTAGCAAGCGATTGTAGTCGGGCTGTAACTGAAGCTTCGCTGAGTTATTATTACCAGTCGTTACTCCGGTAGACAGTGTGTAGGCGTACTTTTGATTTCGACGAATCGTGAGAACCTGAATATCAAAGCAATGTGCCTGTGTATCGTATAAGTGTATCACTCATTACCGGAACACGCTCGTGTGCCCGATCGACGGGGCAATCGATCTTGCTCTCGGCCGGAAGTACTCGCTGGAACGGCGCTCCGTGCCGCTAAGGAACGACTGCGGACAATCGCGCGAGTGTCCTGTAATTTCGTAACCGTTATCCCCACGCAGGAGCTAATTAATTGCGTAAGGTAAATTAAAACAGACACAAAGAGAGGGAGAAAGAGAGAGAGAGAGAGAGAGAGAGAGAGAGAGAGAGAGAAGAAGAGAATTTCCGATCAAATGGACCAGCATTGGCGATTTTTTCAAGTACGAATCCTTAGATGTAACGAAGAAGCGTGACTTTGTAGAGAGGCGTCGCGTTTTTATCCTCGTAGCGATCCTTGAGACTTAGCGAGATTTGCTTTTCTCGTACGCTTACGAACGAAGAGAGAACGAAATTCGGGGAGAATTGGAGCTTCGATTTGTATACTCGGCTACGATAGATCTCTTCTGAATAAACTAAATTCGCGTAAGATCAGTGTTTTGCGGTTAAAGTTAGGCTGTAACACACACGTAGGCGTTAATCGGCTTCGGAGGTAAATTTGTACGGCCGACTAAGCGCGGTCGAGAGATCAGTCCGCGCTGTCTCTCCCGATTGATTTGATCACTCGATCGACTCGACTCGACGGACAAATTCGTTTCTACTATCGAATTAGATTAAATTAGCGTAAAGGAGGTGAAATCACGCGCGCGGTGCGTAGCGCGTATCGAGTTAGACGACGCTTGTTTTATAATGCGAGAATCAGCCGCCGAGCGAAGGAGGCAACGGCACCGTTTTCGCGATCCGCTTGAACGATCGCGCAATAATCACGAGTGCATAATAATTAATTCGACATTACGATAAGCTCGGTTGCGACGGTTCGTCGTGTCTTCAAAATGAAAAAAAAAAAACGACCGATAACAGGCCCATCCTCCCTCCTTTGCGCGCGTAAGTCGATACGACGCCCAGAGGAATCTTTGAGATTCCGTCAGCGCGCTTATCACCCCAGTGGCAATCTCACCCGATGTCGCATTATCAGTTAAGATACCTTCATCCAGACCAGCCTGCGATCGCGCGGACGAGCTTCGCATCCGTTCCGTACGCGCGTCCTGTCACGAGCGCACGCGAACGCACTCGTAAAAAGAAATTCGTAAAAGATACAACTGATAAGGAAGATAATGCACACGTGTAATCGAGAAAGTGTAATGCATAGGTACGTAATAATAAAATAATAATATTAATATTGCATAACATACATAACAATTGTGATCGTGAGAGTATCTGTTACGAATAAATCAATTACAAATAAATCATGTGACCTTTTTCCAGCTACATCGATGCGACTGTATTCTTTTCTGCACCAATCACCTTTGAGGCTTGCATTCGATTATGATCGGAAGATAAATCTAGAAAATGCAATGAGTCAGAGTCTCCTTACATTCAGATATAGTCATGTCAGATACGGCGTGCATAAATATTGAAGAGTGCTTTTTTTCAGTACGAAAAATAAGGCTCAATTATCGAAGATGAACATCGCTGTAAGACTGAAAAGTAATTATTCTGGACCGATTCCGATGGGGCTACCATCTTATATAATTCGACAAATATTTTCGGACGCGGTTCTAAAAGTTTGAAGAAAACGCTGAGATTCGCGGTTAAATTCATGGAGGCCGATAAATTGTGTCGGCTGAAAAATTGATTTTAAGCCGAAACTCGAACCACAGGTTTGCACTTTTCAGAAAGATATATTTTCAAGTTTGTTTCCTTTTCAATTAAATTTATAATTATAAACCTGTTACTAATATAATAGTAATTATAAACTTATAAATTTATAGAATAGAGAATACAAATTCTTAACTTGTAAACTCAAAAGTAAAAGGTCTAAATGGGGTAATGATTATATTATCTGCAGAGAGAAATCTGAAAGCGGCCAACACGGCATTTTCTGCGACATCGATTTTCCGCACTGAGAAAGGACGCCATCTGCATCCATTTTGAGAGAAATTACGATGCTACATCCATTTTCAGGTCTCGGTGGTAAAATCTGCATGTGGTGAAAGTCCATGCTATATTCACTTTCAGGCGGTTTATGTCCGTGCTGCAACCACAGTTGCCATTCCTATGCCAGACTATGTCCGGAGGTCTAAAAAGAGCGGCGGAGGAGCAGGAAAAATAAAAGTATCCTTTAATCAAAAGTGCGTGTCAATCGAAAGTCGAAATCTCTCGAATATCTCGAAATGCCTCTTTTCCGCTATGCTGATTGGTCGTCTCGACGACGTTGCGTTGCGGTCGGCTTCGTGCCGTTTGCGGCTATCATCGCGGCGAATGACAGCCGAGTGACAGTTTGTACGAAAGGAGTAATAATGTGGTTATATCAGGTTAACAATTTTATAAATTGTTTATAAATTGTGAAGTGTGTTTGCCGTGATAATTCTGTAGAGAAAAGCTTCGGAAGAAACATGGATAATATCAGATAAGCAACAATATCGTTGAATACATATAAAAAGTATGCAAGGAAGAAGAATTTATATGTTTTGTGTCGTTTTTACTTTTTACAGTTAAAACATAAAAGGGAAAGGAAGAAAAAAAGAAGGAATGAAAGAGAAACAGAACAGAATGCGAGAAGAATAAAAAAGGATCAAACGCACTAAAAAATATCAATGTGTGACCACAGAATAATGCTTTATAGTGGTTCATTTTTAAAATTATTTTTAATTATTTTTTTCAATTATTTTTATTATTTTTGTGTGAGCGAGAGATTGTGTGAGAAAGAGTGTGTAAGAGAGAGAGTGAGAAAGAGAGTGTTAGAGAGAATGTACAAGAGAGCAGAATGTGAGGGAGAGAGTGAGAGTGTGACAGAGGGAGTATGAGAGAGAGAGAGCGTGTGAGAGAAACAGAGAGTGAGAGAGGGCGGAGAGGGGGGAGAGTGAAAGTGAGAGGGGGAGTGGCGAGTGAAAGGGAAGGAAAGAGAGGGAGAGTGAGAGAGAGAGAGAGAGTACGAAAGGGAGAGAGGGTGAGCAAGAAAGAGAGAGAGAGAAAGAGAGAGCTTAAGATGGTCTTGAATAGAAATTCTAAACGTTGAAATTTTCATTGGTTAGACGGTGACGCGTTACTATGCAGGAAATATGTGTTATGGAATTTCAAAATGTATACGCCTAATACATCGTATGTTGGAGTCGGATATTATCGAACTTATATTATATTCCAGATTTTATTTTTTATTTATAATATTTATTCCAAACTTTAATATGAATATTCTAAAATGGCGCGCGCTCGTAGTGTTCTAGTCTACTATCTAAAAAAGTGCGTGTTATCGCGAATGTATTTCTTATCGAAGCGTTGAAGCCTCTTTTCCGCGATGTTGATTGACCGTCTCGACTATCTCGATCATCTCGATCGGTCACAGCTGCATTCGTGTCGCTCGCAGCTGTCATCGCGGCGAATGACAGCTGAGTGACAGTTTGTACGAAAGGAGTTATAATGGGGTTATATCAGGATAACAATTTTATCCTATCTAAAAAAGGTGCGTGTTATCGTGAATGTATTTCTTATCGAAGCGTTGAAGCCTCTTTTCCGCGATGTTGATTGGCCGTCTCGACTGTCTCGATCGTCTCGATCGGTCACGGCTGCATTCGTGTCGCTCGCAGCTGTCATCGCGGCGAATGACAGCTGAGTGACAGTTTGTACGAAAGGAGTTATAATGGGGTTATATCAGGTTAACAATTTTATAATATAAAATAATAAGGTATAATATATTTTCTCTTCTTTATCGGGTAATTTTATAACATAATTTTATAATTTTATAATTAATAATTAATTAATTAATTAATAATTAATTTTATAATTTTATAACATAGTTTTAAACATAAAATAATAAAGTATAATATATTTTTTCTTCTTTATCGGTTAATGGTAATAAATGTGACGAAAGAGAGAGAGAGAGAGAGAGAGAGAGAGAGAGAATGTAAGGGAGAGGAGAGTGAGAGAAAGAGAGAGAGAAGAGAGTGTGAGGGAGAGCGTATGAGAGAGGGCGTGTGTGTAAGAGAGTGAGTGTGAGAGCGAGAGAGAGAGTGAGGGAGAGAGTATGAGAAAGAGATTGTGTGTATGTGTGTGTGTGTGTGTGTGTGTGTGTGTGTGTGTGTGTGTGTGTGTGTGTGTGTGTGTGTGTGTGTGTGTGTGTGTGTGTGTGTGTGTGTGTGTGTGTGTGTGTGTGTGTGTGTGTGTGTGTGTGTGAGAGAGAGAGAGAGAGAGAGAGAGAGAGAGAGAGAGAGAGAGAGTGTGTGTGTGAGAGAAAGAAAGTACGAGTGAGAGTGAGAGTGAGTATGCGAATGAGTGTACGAGAGAGGAGAGTGTGGGAGAGAGAGAGAGTGTGAGAGGGAGAGAGGGTGTGTGAGAGAGAGAGTGTGAGAGAGGGAGAGTGAGGGAGAGAGTGTGAGAGAGAGGGTGAGAGAGAGAGAGAGTGAGAGACTAAGAGAGACAGAGGAAAGAGAGAGAGAGTGAGGAGGAAGAGATAAAGCTTAAGATGGGCTTGAATAGAAATGTTGAACGTCGAAATTTTCGTTGGTTATACGGTAACGTGTTGCTATCCAGAAAATATGTTTCATGGAATTTCAAAGTGTATGCGCCTAATACATCAATGTTAGAGTCGGAAATTATCGAACTTATATTCCAGGGATTATTTTTGATTTATAATATTTATTCTGAACTTTAATATGAATAAGCTAAAATGGCGCGCGCATAGCGCGCGCTTGTAGTGTTCTAGTGTATTAAATATTAAATCTTCGAATACATGTTCCTGTATCAAAGTCTCCTCTATAATAAACAATTTGACAGATCTGGAGACGCATGATATATCGTTGCCCGCGTCTCGTTCCCATTGTCCTGCTTCTCAATTCAGCATCCCGTCCGCTCCGGACATTCGCTCGTGGCTCTGACAGTGATCGTCGTTGAGCATTCGTTCCGCTCGGAGGAGCATGTGTTAATTAATGCGACGAAACTCCGATTATAAATATCCCGCGAGTCGACGAAATATCTAAACTTTTAAAAAAAGCATCAGAGAAAATCACGTTGATGTTGTCATAGATGAAATCTCACCCTGGTATATATTTTTTTATTTTCGAAATAAAAAAGCCAAACGAGTGCAATTAAATGTTATTTATCATCATTGAATATTAGATGAAAAGTAGAAGAGTTATTGTCCGCAGCGGATAATCTAACATTTAATAAGAACGAGACAAAATTCGCATGGGATGAAATTTCACTCTTTAACGCTATCATGACCTTTAATTATTCTCCGAAAACGACGTCACAACAACTTTGACACCTTGTACAATTGGTTGCTAACACATTTTCTAATTGTACACATTCCTCTTTAATTAACATAAAGCTAACAAATGTCCGATGCTTCGACAGAATAATTTTCTTTATTTTCACTAATCAATGAATAGTAAATCAATGTCGCGTACAGTTGAAAAGCCTCCTCGTATTCCCCTCGTCATTCTGGAACCTTCGAAAAAAGAAGAGACGCCCAAGGGCAAGTCTCTCTTGCTTCAACCGCCGCCGAGGCCCGCAATGTTTACATCGCGCCGATTGTGTTGATCGGCTCGCGAGCGGCGACACTTTTTGCCCCTCGTATTAATACTCGCGCACCTCGCATACTCGAGCTCTTTCCATCAACAGCAGCTGTGCGCGACGTGCTCGTCACTTCCGGCTCGTGTAATTGTAAGAAATGTATCTCATCGGTCCTCGAGATATTCAATCAGCATCACGTCGGCATCGCGTTGATTAACCGCACGGTCGAATCGCGAGTATCGGCGGATTAGAAGCGTGAGCGAGTGAAATCCGGAGGACTCCAGCAGCCAGGAAGCAGGACGCCGGAAGTGATACGTCACGTTTCCAGGTATGTGGAATCATTTATTATACGGGAGATCTCCGATAACGAGAGCGGACGTTTATCGAATTTTCCGGGAATAAGACATCGGAATTTCGCGCTCGACATTCACGATCCGTCAATATGCAACTAGTAATCATGACTTTATGAATTTGCAATTACTCTCGTCAATCTCTGTCTGTCTATCTATTTATTGTGTTGTTGTATACAAGAGATATTGATACAGACAGAGACGGATAACGGTCCATGAACGCGGATCTCTAATTCATCATGGTCTCAATCAAACATTCTGAATAATTCCCAAATGTGTGAGTATACCGGTCTTCTGTAGAATATTCTACGTCATACCACATCTTAGACTGCGACCTTTTTCGTTTTCGGTCAGCGCTTCTTTCAAGTCTGTTTACTCTCGTTACGGGTTCCAAATTTAAATGTCCATTCGTAAAAGAGTATTTTCGAGAGCACACAACTATTGTCTCCGCTTGTTGTTGTCATTTTTTTCGTCAGCTCTTTCAAGAGCTCCAAGTCCTATCTAGACGTTCAATGTTGATGAAGAAAAAAACCGTAGCGAATATTCTCCACTCATCCCGACCAAACATTCTTTCTCTACCGCAGTTTACCAACCAAGAATGCAAAATTTTTGTTCCAGACGTTACGGGAAGCAAGTCCGGCGGACGCGGATGCCGCACCGGAGGATTCGATTCGGGCAGAACAGAGTCGGCCGGAAGGTAAAGTTTACAAGTTTTCTATACGTCTCTGTTCAACTCTTTACAATTTTTGCTTTTGCAACTTGTTCCTCGTCAGCTCTCTTGAAAGCTTCAAGTCCCATTTAAATGTTCAATGTTGGAACAAAAATATAAAGATAAAAATTCCATATCAAAATATTTCCGTATTTTCGATTCGTCCCTGATCAAAGATATTCTCTCTCTACCGCAGGTTATTAACCGGGAAAATGATTTTTCTGTTTCAGTTGTTGCGGAAAGCAACAGCAATCCGGCGGACGCGGATGCCGCACCGGAGGATCCGGTTCGGGCCAAGCAGAGTCGGCTTGAAGGTAAGTTTACAAGTTTACTATAGTCCTCTGTTTGACTCTGTTGGCGATCTAGAGCTGGAATATTATTTTCGGCTCGATTTGAATTACGATCGCAGAGGGTAAACTACTCTTTTATTCGCCCGCACTTGTTGGTCAAATCTGATGAGCGAATGTGAATTTTTTGTTACAGAGTTGAAGCGGAACATGGCCGGCTCTGACTGCAAGTCGTTTCGGTGAGTCAATGAAAAGAGAAACAAAATTCTGCATGACGGATATGGGACTAATAAATATCGTTCGAGTCAATGCAAATTGCAAATAGATTCTTGCATGTGTGTATTTGTGATGTTGAATAAAATACATTGCTCGAAATAATCAGGGGATTACTTGATCGATAGCCTGCATTATATACGAGATTTAAGATACCGAATGATTCTCTTTTGATGTTCATTTGAATAAGAGATATTCGTGTCTATAAACGCGATACCGTCATCAGTTGCTTTATTTTCATTTTTCAAGCGGGTCGCTGAATTATTTAACGACAATTATTTGACAATATTCAATTGTCCGCGTAAAATGTATTCATACCGCTGAATAATAAATAAATGCCGATACCGTTGGCTACTTTTCTTTTATTTCCAAAACAGGCTGTAAAATTATTTGGCAATTACGATCACAATTCATTACGATCCCTGTTATCTCGAGTAGCGTATAATGCGCCAGAAATTGTGCAGAAATTGCGCCAGCGCACGCCGAGCTTGAGGTATCCTCGCTCGCGTGCCTTTGAATATCGCGACCGCGGTTATCAATATACGCGTTTTCAGCCGCGCTGCTAACAAAGAAAGCTTAAATTCTCATTTCGCCAAAGTATCGCGAACGTAAAAAAAGCTTCGTCGTGACGGAACTATCATGCGTGAAAACTTTGCTCCGCTCTCTCTCTCTCTCTCTCTCTCTCTCTCTCTCTTTGTGCTCCCTCGGAGCGACCGGTTTCTAATTGCCTAATCTTTCTTCGCATGCATTCGCGAATATTCTCGTAAATATCGATACTCCCGCATTTTCGCGACTTTTCAGGCGCGATCGCGAAAAACGCCGTAAAAATCCGTTGGACGAGGCGATAAATTTTCACACGGTTCTTGCTCCTCGCCGATCGAGTTTATAGAGTTCGTTTCGCAGCGCGTAAAAAGTTTCCACCGATGTCGACGTAAAACGTTCGTTAATTGACGCAAATATCGCCGCTCTAATACCGCGTATCGACGATGTCGCGGAAGTATGGTGAAAATGTAGCAATCAACGTGGGACGCGCTGCAAGATGGATGCTGCTTGACATGGAGAGCGGCAGCGGACATGGACGGACATTGGTGGATGCAACGGGACATCATCAATATCATCATCGGTGAGCGTTTGACTCAACGCTCGCAGAGAGCTCTTTTATTATTACATTGTGCATGCTGCAAATTTGCATTGACTTTTGTAACGAAAAATATATTCTATGAGTTATTGCCATATATTATGGCCATATATTATTGCCATATATTGTTGCCATATATTGTTGCCGTATATTGTTGCTATATATTATTGCCATATATTATTGCCATATATTGCCATGTATTCTCGCCATATATTATGGCCACTTGAAATCGCGTGAACAATCGAGAAAACTGAATTTACCGGTAATCGCAAAGGCGCGCGGTACACTTTGACACACGGGTTGACAGCTAATTGCCGGACACTTCGTATGATCTTTATGATATCCCAACAAACACAGTATTCCCTTGTAACGTGCATGTTGGTTGTAATTTCCTACTCAATAATATAACTGTTATATTGTTGAGTAGGAAATTACAACTAACATGCACGTTACATGTAATATTGTGTTTGTTAGGATTAATCATACACAATATCAATTCTTTTTTTTGCACATGTTAACATGTTAATTCATGTTATAAACGCGTAACAATGTGTGAGACCGTGCTTGTCAAGTACGCTATTATGTTTGTAACACGGACATAAACCGCCTGAAAATAGATGTAGCACGGACTGCCACCACATGCAGGTTTTACCGCCGAAACCTGAAAGTGGATGTAGTATCGTAGTTCCCCTCTCGAAATGGATGCAGATGGCGCCCTTTCCCAGTGAGGAAAGTCAGTGTCGCCGAAAACGCCGCGTTAGCCGCTCTCACGTTCCTCTCTGTTATCTGTTATTTTCGTAAATTAGTTCCCGGGTTCCCGCTACGAGCCGCCACCATACATACCGAGGAACTGAGTTCCAGTAGTATGACTCCATAATAAAGTCAGCCGTCTATTTTTTAAATAAACCTATTTAAGGAGGTATATTAAAGGTGTTTTACCAATGGCAAAATGGGCGAAGTTCAACGAACTATAATTTTGATAAAAATAATAATAGCGAGATTGTTCGAAAAGCATTTTAAAAATTGAAATTTCTACTTTTCAAGTATATTATAATTCATGATGTTACTATTGTTTATTATATATAAGTTCTATTTAATTAAATAAGAAATGGCGACTAATCAAGTTTCCACACCATTTTTTGATTATTTTTATATTGAAAAAATTTACTTTTATTAAAAATATGATGTCTTTTAAAGCCATCGAAACTAAGTGGACGATTTTTTGAAATAGTATATAATTTTGAAAATAATAAATTTAAAAACAAGAGACTTTTTAAAAGAATAATAAATTTAAAGACAAGAGCTGCAAAATGTGTCTCGAAACATCTCGTTAGCGCTCCTTCTATAAAAATGTTACAAATGTTGAATTTTGACTGATTTTCTTCATCAAGAGAAATAAGTCTTCAGTTACATACATTTGCAATTGAAATATATTCGCAGCATTATGCAAAAAAATCCGAAGCAACTTGTTCGTCATCATCAAATAACATGTCTCATCGAAAGAACAGGATTGGGATCGGGCTGGCAAATGAATGAGCGGATGGAACCTCTCAGCGCAGATTGACAAAACGTGTGTGTGTCTGTATGTGTGTGTGCAACTATCTTATATTTATTTATATGATATGATACAAATGAGTAGAATGTAGCGACGAACGTGGAATGTATTCTAATGATGAGGAACGTAGCTGTGCGAGTCCTGCGGGCATCCCGCCGGCAGCAGGCTAGACGCTGCCTCCTCGTCCGCGGAACTGCACAGCATCCCGACTAGCGTGTAATCGACAAAGGGCGGCAAGTCCAGGTCGGCGGCGACCTGGCCGCCGTAATTATTGTCGTTCGTCCCGTGAGCCGTCGCCGCCGGGACGTTGCTCATCATTTGTGGCAAGCGGTCCAGTATCTCGCAGGTGTAGTGGCAGCGCTCGTTGTTCGGATAGAAAAAGGGCTCTGAGCTGTTCTGCGACTGGACCGCCGACGTCTCCATCGCGGCGGAACCGTGAAAGAGCCTGTCGGTGGCCTCTGCGACGGCTTCGTGGCTGTCGTAAGTCTGAAGTCTCTCGTCCAAAGTCATCCTGGTGGTGTTCTGATGATGAGCGACGCGGCTGTGCGGCGGCTGACTCTTGCTGTCGCCGTGATCGAACATCTGATGGTGATAGCCGTCGAAAGGATACGGCCTGTCCTCGGGACTGCGACTGCTACGCACCGCGTCCTGCGTGTCCTCACTCTTCGACCTCTGCTGATAGAGATTGTCGTACTCCGTCCTACCGGCCAATGAAGTCTGACAGCCGTTCCTGTTGTTGTTGTTGTTGTTGTAACATTCGACTTCCCTGCGCGACGACAACAGGTCCTCCTCCTTCACCTCGAAGCCGGGGAAGTGCAGTCGATTATCCTGTTGATCCTGCGGCCAATAAGACTGTTGCTCGTGCTCGCTTTTTGAATTACCGTCGACGAAGCCCTTCTGGTTCTGCGGTCGAAAGTAACTCTGATAGTGCAGCGCGTCGTTTACAGGATGAGCCTGATTCTGCTGATCCTTCTCCTGGACATAATGATGCATCGTTCTTCTGGAGGGCAAACCGTTGGAGTCCTTCTCAGGCTCGAAGCCAGAAGAGAACTGTAGCCTCTCGTCCTGAGGAGGCAAGCTCAGGTGGCTGCTGCTGGAGTCCTCGCTGAGGAACTGATTCCAGTAAGCTTGATCTTGACTTTGCTGCTTCACCTCGTACTTGATGGTGCCGCTGCCGAGGTCGAGCAAGGTCGGCGGCGAGCGAGCCACGTCCTGAGGATTCGCCGGGAAATCGGGCCTCAGCGGTTGATCCAGCTGGAAGATCTCCTCCGGCTGGAAGAGATCGCCCGCGAAGGGCGGAAAGTCGCCGTAAGACGCCTCCTGCGTCATCTGCTGATTCGGCAGGCAATAAGCCACGGTGTTCTCCTGCGGCGGCACGTCCTGCAGCCAGTAAGCTCCGTCCGCGGGCGGCAATTGCTGGGAGTACACCGTCGTCTGGTGATGATGGGACTGCGGATACGCCGGCACGTTCGTCTGCAGCGAGCACATGCACTCGAAGGGCGGGCAGGAACAGGAGTATCCTAGCAGAGGCATCAAAGAAAAGAGTTACCTTGCTCCTCTTAACACCCGGTTCTGTAGAGCTCCGTTCGCTCTACTTCTCAAACAGAAACGTGTGTGCAACTCTTGGATTTCCAGGATAACGTAACGGACACAATTATGAAAAAACAGCAAGAATGTCCTGCGAGACTCTGAACATATACTTTGTTGAGCAGGCATTTCCGATCGCAGCCTGTTAAGTTGATCATCTCGACCCTCCAAAAATCAAGTGTTTCCGCGAGTGTTTCGCGAGATTTTTCAAAAAGAAAATCAATCATTACGATTGGCCAAGCCGCGATGTTATCGAACGTGTCGCGCTTCGAGAATCTCAATCGCCGCAAGCTTCAGTCAGTTCAGGGCGGCTCGCAGCGCGGGAGGACAGGCTCGTCGCGAGTCGGCTCCGCATCTCCGCTGATTTCGGAGGCGTCTCGCGCGCCGATTACCGCGGCAGGAGTGGCGAGAAGTATCTCGCGTCTACCAGGACGAAACTACCAGGGCGAAACAGTCGTCGAAAGTGAGCGTCTCGCGGCGGGGAACAGCGAGCGAAGAGCGCCGGCCGGGTTATAGCGCTCGGTAATCGGAGCTTGACCGAGCTTCACGACTTGGAGCCTTCGGCCGAAGGGTTTCGAGCTACGCGCGAAACATCGTCGGCAGTGTCGAAAATCGCAAGACTCGGCCATTCGTCGTCACAAGCGTCGCGAAAACGCCGTCGGCGAGCGAACACTTCGCGTGTAACGCTCCGCGAGGCGTCGGTGGTGCCGTGTGCAAAACTCGGAAGTTGGCCGCGCGCATCCCTCGAATGTCTCAAGCGCAGCGAACTTCAATCTGTTCACCGGACGGAACATGGCGATCGGTCTCGGCGAGCCGTGCGGTGCTTTTCGCGAGTGAATCGTCGTCACCGGGAGTGAGTCTCGCGACGAAGGATACGCATCGGGAGTGAGTGTCTTTCTGTGAGTCGTCGGGGCTGCCGAGAGGAGCTTGGCGCGTTCACCAGGTTAGGACGGAAGTCACGAGGAACTGTTGTGCGACGTTCGAGCCACCCACAGGGCGATTTTGGTGAGTACCGAGCAGCTGTTGCCCGACACATTGTAGCCCGTTTGTGACAATTGCGCATCGTGCAGTCAGATTTCGAGTAGATGACGCGAGAGCGACAGGTTTCTTCTTTCCCGCATCACGATAAATATTCGCGTTTCCAACGCAGCATTCATGTACAGGGTTATGTTGAATGAGATTAGTGCGAGGTACCGATAAGAGACGCTGTTAGAAAAGGACGGAAGGACCCCCCTCGGCGATTGCCTTCGCCGTTGATCGGTGGCGCCATCTTACCGCTCGAACTGAAAAACGATTCCGCGATCGACGCGTCTCGCGCGCAGCAAGTCTCGCAGGTGCAGTGTCGCGCGTTTTCGAAGCGATTAGTAGTAAGGTGTGAGATAGTAACCTTTGTCGGAGATCAACGGCGGTGGCTGCGTGGCTCTCGCTGGCTGCTCCAGCTCCGTACTCGGTCTTTTGGTTCCTCTCAGCGACATCAACTGCAACGAGACGAGGACGCACTTGTAGCTCTCGTTCTCGCGTCCTTTTTATTTCGTGAAACGAAGCGGGAGAGGTAAAGAATTAGAAAGATTAGAATCGCCGAACTTTTACGTCCCGTTCTGCACCTCGATCGCTCAATCGTCATAAAGTGCACATGATAGTAAAGCGCCCAAGCGTTAACAAGCAAGGACGATTATCGCGACTAACAAAGCGAGACAATCGTTACGCGCGTCGGCCGGCCGACATAGTCGATAATCGGCGATCATTCGGCTGGAGAGCGCGATAGTCCCAGTTGGGGATTTTACGCAAAACTTTGAGGTTGCGAATTACTTTGGTGCCTAAGGCGGCTTCCCGCGTCAAGAGGACCGCCAGCCCTCTGACCCTTCTGCCGGCACCCACGCTCCTTCTCGCCTCCGACGTGGATTTGGCCTCCGGCCGCGGATGATCGTGCTGGCCCTTGGCTTGGAAAAAAATGGCGTGTTCCGTGTGCCGCCAGAAGTGCGTCACGGGATAGCCGCAGTGTCCGCGACACGAGAGTATCTCGAGGCGACCGGTGCACTGCCTGTTGGGGCACGGTTTACCTTGCTGCTTCTTCCTCGCCTGCGAACAAGGTCGAAACGCTCGAGGTCTCAGGTCTGCGGAAACTCGGAGTTTGAAGTGTATCGTCGGTCGTGTGTGAACGATGTAGGAACGAGGGAAGAATCCGGGAAGGTTATATTTCCGTCGAACGAAGAGAGAGAGAGAGAGAGAGAGAGAGAGAGAGAGATCCTCTCTTGTCCTTAGACGAGATGATAATCGGGGGAGGGATTTGCGGCCGATAGCTTGATAGATCGAAGCGGTCCGCTCGCTGAATCCGCCGCGTCTCTCCGCGAACAAATGCCAAGCCCCTCCCCCCGTCTTCTCGCGTATTCTCCGCTCTCGCGATATCGTGCGAATTGAAAAACTCGACCTGCCTCGGCCTGCGCATCGATTCCCCCGAATTGAAGCGAGCACGTGGAATCTCGCGGCGCGAGCCGCATAGGCGGCGGCAAGAATGTCGGCGAGGAGGCGCGCGCACGAGTACCGCGGCGGGCGCAATTTACATTTATTATCGGCTCGGGATTTATGTTTATCGTCCCGTTATGCGGCTCGCTCACCTTATCGCAGATCGCCGGTCGAAGGTGAACCCTTCCACCGCCGGGTAGTATGCACTCCTGGGAGCACACGAGAACGCCCAGGCAACTCTTCTTGAGAATCGCCACGTTATGATTGTTGGTGTTCCTCATGGCCCAACCGGAGGCGTGCTTTCTCGCTTCCTCGCAATCCGGTCCGTAGACTCTCCTCACGTGTCCGTCCGCCCATTCGCACCAGGGATCGTATTCCACTACCTGAAGCAGAAAAGCCTGTCCTTGAGATCGGCGCTGGCAAGGACGCGACTCGATCGAGAATTCTTCGCCACGCGAAACAGGGCGGGACGGGGGGAGCGAAGCAGCAAAGGGGGAGGAGAGAAAGGGAGGAAGCGAACGGAAATCGATATTTCCGTGCGAGACGTCGCGATCGACGAGCTCGGGGGAGAAACTCACCCTCGGCACATTCGAGTCATTTATGTCCCACTCCTGATGAGGATGCTGCTGTTGCTGGTTGCCGGCGACAGTCGCTGACATCGTCGGCGACCCCACGCGACTCCTGCAAAAAAGTGCGGACATACTTACAACCCGGATGCGTGCGCGCGCGCGCGCTCGGTGATTTCTCGAAAGCGCCGAGTCTTACATCAACGCGAAATCGTGCCCCGACAAATTCGGCGTGTTCGCGAGCGTGTTCGTATGAATCTCGCCGGCCGTTTCGCCGAAGGGCCGACCTTTGGGCCCCTGCGGTCGCGGAGTCGTCCCCGACAACTTTGGAATCGAATCCGAGGACTAATTTACTGTTACGCAATCGCGGCACCGCCAGCACGGCACGAGCACGGCAGCTGCGAGATAAAATCCCGATTTATGGTACGTGTCCGGCTGTACCTCGCGCCATACTTATGGGAGGCCGTGGGTGGCCTGACGCGCCGTGGCGGAGCGCCGCGCGTTCGGCGTCTTTCCGGAATCCTCGCATCCGTATGCTGCGCGATCGCGCGATCGCGAATCGAGCCGCGGAAGATCGATCTTCGATAGCCGGGATAAAGCTACTCGCGGGACGCCGCGCGCGGACGGTGTGTATCGTGTCCGCGGGAACGATCGCCGTTTATCTCCGCGGCGATCTGACCGCGCGACGGATGGGTCCCATTGTAATAGCGAATAATTCCGCGTGTAATAATAATTTCGCGGCTCATTCTAATCCAATCGCCGGCCGTTTTGTCTCGAACCAACATGGTCGGACTACTACGTGGCAGATGAGTCCTTTCTTTTCCGCTGCACTTTTCGAGTTCGTTCCGAACGCGGACGATCGCGCTTTCCCTTGAATTTTCATTCGCGTCGAGTATCAAAATACTAATGAAAATTAGAGCCGAATTGGCCTCGTAAGGATAAAAAATTCGAACTCTTTTATCTTCGGTGAAAAGGCGTTTTTTTCCTTCGCGCGTGCGCGGAGCGGTGCTCTTCGGCTTCGGAATGAACGAGCGACACGAAGGCGCTCCTTCCTCTCTGACAATCGTGCGAAAACGCCGGCATTCGATTAATCCGCTCGAGCGACACCGCGTATTAATAAGAGCGAATATATACGACCAATGTCTCGGGGAGAGAGAAGCGCGCGCGTGTATACGTTTTCCCGCGACAGTCGGCGCGAGGAGCATTCACGCATAAATCTTCCTGTATAAGTGTATCTCCTCGCGTCAGCTCCGCGCAGACCAGCTTCTGCCTTTCTTCGTCGTTGACATTAAAGTCCGCGCTTATGATCTGTGGCGGCATATTGCGGTATGTGCGCGCGAGGCGTACTCCTCCCGGCGACGAGAGCCGAGCGCAGCGAAACCCTCGCTCGTATATCACACCGCGAGCGGATCTTTTTCTCGCCCGAAGGCTGCAAGCGCGATTAACGAGCGAACGGTTTGTCGTCGTCGCGAAAATGGCGCGAAAGCAGAGCAAGGAGAGAGGCGATCGTCCAATCGAGCGGGTGGAGGAGCTGGCGAGTCCACGGATGAATTGGACCACACCTCGATCCCGCTAATTTAGACGCGGCCGGCCTCTTATTTACTCCCACCCGGGGATTTATTCGTCGCTTGCGCGCTCGCGAGCTTGCGGGCAACAGGCGCGCGGTGCTTGTTCGCGTTACGCGTTAGGTGCGCGCACGCATCGTTTCCGTCGGTTTTATCGAGTCGCGCCCGTAGCCGGACATTTACGAGCCTGGAACACCTACTCGAGACCGCCTCACCGCCCGGAGGTCCCGTCCTCAACGGCGCGGACCACCTCGTGAACCTCTTTCACGCTGACACGTGATCACTGTCGAGGAGCCGCGCGGCGATTCCAATTGCCGGCGATTACGGCGCCCGGCAATCGCGTAAAGCACGTTTAACTGCGCCCTTCGCGATCCGACGCGAAAGAGCCTTTATCGCCTGAGATATTTCGTCTAGATTCCTCCCCCTCCCTCCCTCCCCCCCCCCGTGCCGACTCACTCGCGCGTAGTCGCGCCACGCGTCGCTCGGATCTTCTTCTCGGAGCTGGCGGAGTCTCGGCCTTATTTCGTCGACTCGTCGTGATATGTACTGAATCATGTTTAGTCCTCGTGTCTTCATCTGATGAACTCGAGCGAAGAGAGTCGGGTTGGGGGAACAATTTCAGAAGAGCGATTTCGGTAGCATGCGTCTCGCGTCTGGATGATCATTTTCTCAAGATCACGCGGTGCTCCAGAAGGAGAGAAAAGGCGTCTTCTTCTGGCCAGAGACGATAATTCCGCCATACTTTTTCGATTCGGTTCGTTATGCATAGCGCAGAGAGAGGCTGGCACGCGAGGCGCGTTTGCTATATGTTACGTCGACACCTCTTTTTTTGTCCTCTCCCTCTCCTCTCCTTCTTCGTGTCTCGCACCGTGAAAACGAGGAGGGTAGAATCGAGCCGAGAGGATGGGGAAAGAGAGCGGGAGAAATGGAGAGAAGGTGCGAGGAAGGACGAGGACAGCGCCAGCGGAGAAGCGAGCCAGCTTAGGTGAATGATTGCCCGGATCGGTGATAAAGTCATCGCCTTTAGCACCAAGTAAGATGATACATCGGCGGACGATGCTGCGTCGAGATTGTCCGGAGTCGAAGACGTACGCACACGCGCGCGTGCATCGTCGTGAAACTCTCTCCGTGATTCGTGAGAGAGAAAGAGGGAAAAAGTTCGGGAGGGAAGGAGAGGGAGAGACTGAGAGAATGAGAGAGAGAGAGAGAGAGAGAGAGAGAGAGAGAGAGAGAGAGAAGACGTCTTCGTTTCTCTTTCTCGCGGTGGTATGGGTGCGTTCAGAATTTCAGATATTAAGATAGATACGCGCCGCGACGAGGCCACTAAAATATCACGAAGGGCGCACCGTGAAAAGGAAGAAATTTCTCGCTCTGTCTCTGTCCCTTTCCGCTTCGCTCTTCGCCTCCTTCGTCGCGTCGCCCTCTTCTCGGCTTTCTCTCTCTTTCTCTCTCTCTCTCTCTCTCTCTCTCCCCCCCCTCTCTCTCGTATCTCCCCTTCCCCTCGTCCGTTCGCTCGTTTCTGTCCTCTCGGTGTCTCCGCGTCCGTTTCTGTTACTAGCCACGCTACGTTCGGATCTTTCCGCGAGATTAGCTCGCGGAGTTAATCTCGCGTCTCTAAACGAGTTAATCCCCCGCGCCTGAGCTTTTCATTCGAGTCGAGTCGGCCGCGCCGGCAGACATTCGGAAACACGACGCCGATAGTTATGTTACCCGGAACCGCGTCGGAACTCTCGCGTGTCCGCTGATATGCTCGCCTCTCGATTAATCGGCTCTCTTACGGCGAGCGAATTTACGTTCACGGTGACGACGTTAGTTTTATTGTATCTAATTGGTCACGAGACGTAGCGAGAGGTCGAGAGGAAATCGTCCGAGCATCGAAAGCCCGCTCGGCTCGTTCGTTCTCGTGGATTCACTCTTTCACGGAAGAAGGAGACGGCATTTAATGACCCGCTAGTATTGACAACTCGAGGAGTCACGTCGCGCGCTAACGACGTTTATTTTTCCTCGCGCGATAAGCCCACACGGGACTCGACACCCACGCCGCATCTTCTTTTCGGGTCTCCGCTCTCGCGATCGACAGCTCGATTTATACTCAACGCAGCGAAGCCCCGTCCGGCGATGCTCGTCATTCAGCTCGCGAGGCGGACTATATAAAAAAGACTGCACCTGAGCTCGCGCGATGTTAATAATAGCAGCGAAATGAAAGGCTAACAAACCGGCGATTCCTTTTGTCGCCGGTTACGTAGGTCGCGTCTCGAGCTCGTCTCTGGCCGGGGTCAGTTTGCATAATTTGGCGATCGAGCCGCGAGTCCCGCGTCGAAAACCGATCGCACGAGAAAGAGTCTCTAATTAATCTCGCGGCAGCAGAGGACAGCTGATGATCGAAACGTCGCCGAAAAAATTGTCCCCTATAATTTTGGAAACGTGTAAACGTATGTAGATTTTTAAAGATGTTGATTGATGCAAGTAAGGAAGCATGAGGATTGCGAGGTCTCGAAAGTACGAGCCGGATAAATATATTTCTTTACAAATGTATTACACACATACACGTATACACACATACAAGACAAATGGTCATCTCGACCTGCCTCCTGCCGAACTGTATCTCAACGAGAGCCGCGCATCGCAAAATCGTCTCTTTCCTCGCTCGCGATCTTCACTTTGTGACCCCGTTCTCGGCGACGACCGCTACTCCTGCGGATGAAATCGCCCGTTGTCTGTCCGATTTTTTCCGAGTCACGACCGATGAGCTGGTAAAACCGCTCACGTTCCAGGAACCAATGTCCAATCGCCCCTGTCGCTTCACTTACATCGATATCAGCGTTCGCGGCCGCTCTCGCACGATGCGTGATCTCGAATAGCCGAATGGGGCAGCTGGGAGATGGCGCAAAAAGCTTGGCAAAACACGTCGAGGCTCAATGAAACGCGATAGAACGAAAGAAAACCGGTCGGGCTGGATTTTTGTAAATCCGGCTTTTTGCCGATTCCGCGCGCGCCGCCGCGTCCCGGGAACGTATCCCGGCGAGCGTGGAGGCGAGAGATCGCTCGCAAGGGGGCAAGGGGGAGAAGGAGACGCGCACGTAGGATCACTTTGACCGGCCAAATTTAGCGAAGCACGTGGGTCGCCTCATGACCACGCGACCATTCGTCCGCAATTAGCGCCGCATAATGAGTCTTACGGTCGATATCGATAGGTTCGCGACCGCTGACTCGCGCGCGAGTTGTGTTTGTCCTGGCTCGATATCGGGCCAGCATCGAGGCACCACACCGTTGCCGCGTTAAATTATAATATCTCGATGAACGAAACATCGCAAAGTCGTTCTCCCGGAAGCGGTTATTAAACGTGCGAATCGTCACCTTGCCGTGGCCTGGGCGCGTAATATCATTGAATTAATACCGAATAAACTGTCAGCTTCCGTTCGGCTGCCGCGACGTAAAAGGGCTCACGAGCGGGGCTCGCGGAGGGGGCTGCGGGTTCAAAGGGTTCCTCGGAGCGGCAGAGAGCGGGAGAGAGCGTTCTCGAGATTCGAGATAAAGGGGGATCGTCTTACCCGCGGACATTCGTTTAATCTGTCTTCGAGGTGTTGGGCTGTGATCAATGGCGAGGCGGCAGTACATCCTTAATCGGGTTTTCACGAACCGACGAGAGACGGCCGTCTCTCTTCTCCGATCTGGAGTCCTCGAGACACTATCCCTCTACCTCTCGACCGGTAGAACAATTAAAAGGATTGCCGAGTCCGTGTTGGACCTCGGTGGTCGGACTATCGCTCTTTGGTCGGACGAGCACCAACAGTGTGACAGTCGAATTAAAAAAGAAGAGGAATTAGCAAAAGCAATGAAGAAAGTATCGTCATGGAATTTCTCAGAGTTTTTTTTTTTTTTTTCTTAAGAATATATGCCAAGATTCTTTATGCTTTCTTGTAGCTGATTCGCGCTGTTGATGAATTCGTACCAACATTGACGGGATTTGCCGTTGTAACGATCGTGTTAAAGTCGTAGGCGAGCGTTTAACTGGTCGACTCGCGCAGCGCTCTGTACGTTTCTCGTAAAAACCTTCTCGTAAACGCTCGTGCTCTTATCGTCGCGTTTTCAGCCACTTGCCGGCACTTGCTGACATTTCCCAGCGGAGATTTCGTTCTTCGAGCATCTTGTCGTTTCTCGAGAGCAAGCTGCATTGTGCGAGGAATGCGAGAACACCAAAATGGTGAAACGGGGAACGTTTTTGATAAAATTTCCGAGTATCGGAGAAGCGAACTCCCACGTACGAACACGGTCGCGCATGACCCGATGAGGCGCGCATGTGTAAACGAGGGGTTTCTAGAACACCCAACGTCCAATCAGACTCGTGATAACGCCCACACACCAATGGGAGACCCGCAGAACGCCCATTGATTAGATACTAGCTGAATCTCTCTTGTTGCCTGGAGGAAGAGAAATCGATGCCAAGTGCAAAAGCTAGCAATTTTTTGCGCCTGGTCTGTCGTGGATCGACCGCTGAATTTTGTCTCGTGCAAGCTGAAGCTCCGACAGAAGCTACACTTGATCGACGCTGATCGGATCGCGGCGTCCCAACAATCGCATGAAACACACGACGATTTCAGATACTCAGATTAACGATGGGTTCAAACTACTTCATACTGACTCGTTTCGAATCCACGAAGAAAGTTCCTTCAAAGCATTCCCTTCAAATATCGAGACACCAAGCGAGACACGAGAAGCTTGAACGTCTCGCAGATTATAATAACAGCCAATTGATTAGTCATTATCAATCATTACATCGACATCATCACGCGTGACTTGTGTGCACATCCATCGTTGCGTGTATCATCCAATATTATCCAAGCGAGAGAATTGGCGACATAGGTGTCGTGTCTCTTCGTTTGCGCGTCAAAGTTTGCGCGATTATTATCTTGTGTTATTGCCTTGAGTATCAAGTGTGAATATTGAGAAGCTTTGAGGGACTTTCCAAACGCAAGTTCGAGCTGACCATCGTAGCTGACTGTAGCCTTCCAAAGAACGCCGATCTACCGCCGATCTACCGTCGAGGTACATTGTTCGCTTAGGCCGATTTCTAGAGGTGTACACCCGATCCGAAGTGAGTGAGATCGCGTGGATACGCTCTCGTGGATACTTACAGAACCACCATAGTCGACGCTGTTTCGTAAATGATGCAGCTCGGTGCTCCGGTAGCCAGTCACGACGGACGACGATCCGCGATTACTGCGAGCGTTCTGCCGACGATCTATCACAACCGCGGAATGCGCCCAACTTCCGGTCACCGGCGGAGCACGAGGGGTCTGGCACTTCACTACGAACTAGGAACAGTCGTTCGGAATAAATGGGGATCCGCGAACATTTCGTCGCGCGCGAAGTCGCGTCGAAGTCACGGCTGACGATCGCTCTCCTCGGGGTCTGTCATTTTGACGGACCTGTCGTCGTTGGATTTCGCAAATTCACGTGGCCGGCCGGCCGACGACGAGTCCGCTCGATTTTGACGTTTGCCTGCGAGCGAACACAGGTGTGTGCGTATGTGCGTGTGCGGTGCGTGCCGATGCGTGCGGCGCGACGTCGCTGCGTGAACTGAAACAGCTTCAGCACGGTGCAAACTAGCCGGATGGAGCACGGTTGGTGCCTGGCAGATCGCGAGAGTACCGCGGTTGCCACTGTGTGTCGATAGGCACCGCCTTTGGGAGTGGCCGTGGCTAACCAATCGCCGGCTGCTTCCTCTTCGAGGGTGCCTAATTGACGATAGCAACCCCTCTCAATCCACGGGGAAATCGATCACCGGAGGTTCCTCCCTGCGTAACAACGGCATTTCTCCCAGACTCCGTGTCCCAAGACTTCGCCTATGCCGCCTGCGTTCCGATGTATCGAGATCTGCGCTGAAAATCATCACAATTACTCGTCGGCTCCTACCGGCTCGCTTTTGCACACTGATTTCTCTTGCGCTTCTCGTGGGAGCGCAAGGGAGCGGGGAGACGTAAGAAAGATACTTGAAAAGTTCTATACGAACTGAACGAGCGAGGAGTTTGATCGTTCTCGACGGGAATCGCTGTAGAATCAAGTTACAAACTTAAGACGAATGATGTTCGCGTAATCGGCCTTTCCTTTCAATTCAAGAAACAACGATCGTTCAATTGACGAAACACGCCGAAATTAGACTCAACGTTCGACGATCTCAAATTGCAAGTTCAAGTACTCGCGCGGCAGCACCGTCCGTCCGCTTAATATCCAACTTAATATTACGACCGTCGCGAGATAACCGGGTGTTAATGGATTAATCACACGGCGGTGAGACCCGAGCTCGTAATCAGCTGGTGAGGGGGTGTCCCTCGCAGGAACCTCCTACTTCCTACCTTCCCTGTCCTTTCGTCTCCCCCAACCCCAGATACCCGCATCCAAGACAACGGCCCGTTACGCTTCGATCGAACTCGAACCCACGACGCAAACATATCTGCCGAGGTGAACGCGTCCTCGGAATTGCGGAGTCGCGATCTCAAGCCAGAAAGAGGACGCGAAACAGACACGTCCTCTGCCGTGTCTGCCGTATGCGGCTGTATCGTCGCAACTTGTCGAAAGCTGGACTCGCCCCCGTCCGACGTTTCGACGTTTCGCCTACGATGTTTGTACGTGACGAATGCGTTCTTTGTCGTCCTCTACCCTCTTGCCCCGACGAGCGCTTTCACATCGCGCTCGCGTCGATACGTCGGTTACGTAGCTCTCGAGATTTTCGTCATGCGCTTACGTACGTATCGGAAAGTCGCTCTCACGGCGCTCGCTCGTGACATCAAACCGTCAAGCAACACGCTCGGCGAGCGTGAACGAAAATTTCTCTCTTCATTCCGCCCTCGAAAAAGGATCGCCGCTCTCGATCGCGCTCGGTAATCCACTGCCGCCGCGCTTTGCTCGCACGTGCGATTTGACGCTCGCGCTCGCACTCGGGCACGTGTGCTGCAGCAGCGTTTTCGGCGTTACTTCCTACCACGTGCGCACAGGTGCGCCCGAGACTGCTGCTTCAAATTAGATGTATCATTTCATCTCTCTCGAAACGGTCCCCAGGAATTTACGTAGTACGACGACTCTCTCACGACTCAGGAATTACACTGGTCTTCTTCGTGAGAGATGTGTACTCCCCCCCCGTCTCCCTCGATACGAAAATATTCAAACGGAGCTGGAAACTTCACACGTTTCGAGACGCATCGCGTAGCGTTTTAAGGAAGATCAAACAGCGAGAGGCGGGATGTCGCTAGGACATGGCGTTTTATACCGGATGACGTTTCTCTCTCTCTTTCTCTCTCTCTCTCTCTCTCTCTCTCTCTCTCTCTCTCTCTCTCTCCCTCTCTCTCTCTCTTCCTCACCCCCCGCATTCTCTGTGGAGCCTTTAAACACAGAAGGAGCGGGATATCGGGCGGGGGCTGAAGGGCGGCGGAGGGCAGGGTCGGTGGAGAGAGAGACACAGTTCGAGGCTGTTTAAACACAGAGGGTGTGCAATCAGGAGTGTTTGCTGCCCCGCGAGCGAGAGAGCGAGTGAGCGAGCGAGCGAGCGAGCGAGCGAGCGAACGACTGAGCGGATCAAAGGATAAACGTTGATGGGTTGGGGCGGCTGATAGTGAGCTGATTTGATTGTCGGCCTCCGCTATTGTCCCCGAAACTGGCCTATTGTACGCCTCCGTGACAGTACACTCTGGTTACTTGCACACAGGTACGAGCGTGTGTACCGGCGAGTGCGTTCCTGTACATGACACTATCTCCCCGCGGCGCGACGTCGCGCTTTCCGCCGTTCCTACATAATAAACGCGCCGCGGGATCGCGCGCTGCCAGCGACCGCCCTCTCTCTCTCTCTCTCTCTCTCTCTCTCTCTCTCTCTCTCTTTCTGTTTCTCCCTCTCTCCCTTTCCCTTCGTATCACTTTCTCCCCCTCTCTTTCTCTCTCTTTCTCTCGCCCCTTCTCCCTCTTCTCTCTTTCGTCGCCGAGACAATTATTGCGAATTATTGCGGAAAAAAGAAAGCTCGCGCCCATTAAGATTTTTACGAGCTTTCGCCGGCTCGGGTAGTCGATCCGTTTCGTCGCCTCGCGGAATTACCGCAGGCGCGCCGAAGAGTCGCGAATATCTGACTGGATTGTGAAACTTTCTGAAACTGAGCGTGGTGTCGATTCATTCCCGACGATACTCGCGCGTCGATTTTCACAGTCTCGGCGGGAGATTAATCGATCGGTGCGAGCGGTTGCGAAGTAGTTACGCTCTGCGTCGAGGTGCACAGGAAGGACAAATTTTCGGGCTTATCCGCGCATCTGCCTCGCCATTTGCATACAATGCTAGTCGCGTGCCTCGGCGCAGCGACGTGTAGGAGGAGACTCGTGTGTTCCCCTCCTCTCTCGGCCTTTTAAGTATTCCGTCACCTGTCAACCGCGTACGCGCGTCCTCGAACACAATGTTCATTTGACGACCGCTGATTTCCCCGCTGCTGCTTGTACGTATAGTATCGAACCGTTACCTCGTTACATTTCCAATGACTTCCAATGACAAATCGAAACAGTGTACATTTTTTCCCCACCTCTTTTCACCTCTTTTCTCCCGCTCGCGCTTGAGATCGAAGCTCGCGTTTTCTCCACGCGATTTCATTTGCATTCCCGACCATAGCCCTTCCCAGGCGACTCTTACCTGTGGTTGAAAGCCAGATGATGACGATGATGATGAGAACGTTGGTAACCCGCTCGTGTCTCCCGGGCTCGTGCCGGCTGTTTCCGGTTCTTCAAAGCGATGCTGCCTTCTGGGCCCGAGATCCGATCTGATGTAAACTCCGTAACCCATTCAGCGCGAGTCAATCCTCCGACCGCTTCGGTAGTTTGTGCTGTCGGGTTTACCGTCGGGGAATTCCGCCGGACGATCGAAATCGCGCTTCTACGACACGAAGACGGACAAGTCCGTTTCGCTTGTTAGCGTTGGAATTAATCCGCCGATAAGCATCGGAAGATCAAGGATCACAAAGAGAGAAGGCTCGCCCGTGCGTACCGTTTGCTATAAAGTATCGCGCCTCTACTTTGCATCACGATTTCTCTCCTCTTTTTTTCTTTTCATTCTCGGACAGCGATTTCCGTCGGCGGAAGCTATGAAAACACCGCAGGCTTCACGGCGCGCCCGCAAAAAGTTGATATCTATTGTCCGGGCGTTTAAACGATGTCACCCCGAGAAGCGCGCCCCTTGGATCGAGAGAGAAAAAAGCCACCCCTCTGTGTGTCCCTAGAGCATCGCGGCATATGTTTCCGCGCGACCCACGGCGAGGAGTGTCTTTCGTGTTTACCGGCCAATCGTCTCCCGCTTGAGCGGAAAAACGCGCGCGAAAGGGGTGACTCGGAGTCGCGGAGGCGGAAGAGGCGCGTCGCTCGTCTACGAGTAATTTCCGCGCGATTTTCCAACATCTGGTGGAAAACATTCTCTGGATTTCACGCGCGTGTGCGTGTCATCGCGGATAATCCTCGGGAAATGCTTTTCTCTCGTGATCCACTCCTGTTTAATCACGCAATTGCCGTTAACAGGTCGCGCTCGGTTCGCACGGTACCTGCGCCCTTCGCCACCGGTCTCTCTCCGCTTTCCCACGCTTTCATTCAATTGCGCCGCGATCTCTGCCGCGCGGCTGCCTTATCTCTTATCGATAAAAAGAATACGAGTCTGACGACCGGCGTGACCGGTAACCGACCGATGATTTTCGAATGACCGGCTCGCTCCCGGAGGTCGTCGAACGACGTGGTCGTGGAAATGTCGGATTGCCGGCCGGGATATTTCGTCGAGTTCGCGTTTTGGATGGCACCGAGGAGACCCACGTAGGAAGTTTCAAGATTTAAGTGCCGCGTGTTGCTTTCCCCGTCGAAAGGCCGAAGGACCCCCGGCCTCTCATTGTGCGCCAATTGAGCCTCGTTTAAGCAGGGGGTGGTGGATTAAATTGATTTAAATTGGTCTCGGAGAGAAAGAGGGCGAGAGAGAGAGAGAGAGAGAGAGAGAGAGAGAGCCCGTTGTCGCTTCTCGCGGAGCGACGAGGAAGACGGGAGGAAAAGAACGTCTCGCTCCTATCGCCGAATCGAATCTTTCCACGATACGGGAGCATTTATACGCTCCTTACCTGTCTCTCGTCGTGGGTCGCTATTATACAATTTTTTGGATGAATTTCACTGTGTGCCGCGGGCACCCATTAGGGCACCCGTATGCGCTCAGCTGCGAATTCACGATAGGCGTGCATGCGTTGTATCGTCCATACGTCTATTTATGGGCGAGTATCGCGCGTAGAATCTTTGGCTTCTCGATTTCGGTCATTTCTTTCTTCTGCTCTCCCTCTCCGTGGATTTATTTCTCGGTCAGCGAGAGCGAGATACGTCTAAAAAATTACAAACCACCGCGATGCGACCGGCGATCCCTCGGGGCGCGTTCCTCGTGGCTTCCAATTCAACGGAAGTCGATTCATCGTTTATCTCGCTTGCACCGTTTGGAAAGTCGCGAGGGAACGGTGCGAAGGCGATCGGTTGTAAAATTCAGTGATAAGTGAATAGTAACGTAGTAATTAACGTATGATTCATGTGAATAAGACGATGAATGGCGACTGATCTGAATTTTA